GCGTGAAAATTGTATATATACATATATTTTCGTTCCCCTCTCCCAGATCTCACTCGCCACTCTCACTCGCCTCTCTAGCTTTATACAAACACAAATGTATACATTGCGTTTGTGTTTGTATAAAGCGAGAGAAAATTGTATATATAAATACAAATGCATATATTTTCGTCCTATACACTTATGATTATACAAATACAATCTTCCCCTGCCCAGTTTTCTTTTGTCTTTCTCTCTTTCTCGCTTTATACAAATAGATTATACAATTGATCTTTTGTATATGTATACCGAAACAGATTATACAATTGCTTTCTTTTGTATATGTATAGCGAAATATACATATTTATGTTTGCTAAGGAGCGCAATTATGCAAACTATAGCTATAACATACAAATGTGATTTGTATGTTTGCTATATGTGAAAGCTGCTCATTTCTATTTCAACCCATTTTATATCTCTAATTTCAACTCAACCCGCCTATGACACTCATAGCTCAACTACACTTGATCACGAAGGTTTGCTACTGGCGAGAATGTTGGCATGAATAGCCTAAATGGCCCAACTACACTTGATCCACTTGAAGCCCATTATTTAAAAGGTGTATCTAGACTAAAAATTATAATAAGAATTAACCTAACTAATTGTTCACATAAAACTAATTAGCGAATACGTATCAGAGAAACATAACAACCTAAATTCTACCATACATAACGATATTTTGTAAAAAATATGATAACATAGTGAGATTATGAATTTTTATTGTGGATTCCTTTAAAAGAGGCATTAGTGTAATCCTGTATATATCCGTTTCTTCTCCCAATTGTCGTTACCCCTCTTAATTAGTGAAACTATCGTTATGTTTTGTAACTACGCACCAAAGTACTGCTATATATAAAAATAATCTATATATAATGTGTCTAATTAGTGTATACCGACTCGCAAAAGTAAATACTCAATAAATATGTCCTGCTATTTATGTGAAGATACCTAATTTACAACTATATCTAAATGTAGAAGCGTAAGTAGAGTTGAATCCGAAATTCAAAGTTTATGCTCTCGGGCAATTCTCTGCCAAATCCCTAATCTAATCTATTATTCTAATAGATTATCGGGCTTTGAGATTTGTTTTCTTTGGAACCACAAAATCATCCTCTATTATTACCCTTTGAGTGTGCACAAATAAAACATATTTAGCGGATTTGTCAACGGGACGCTAAAATTACATAAGAAAGTGTGTATATGCTTCTGCCTATAATGGATGATTGACAAGTCATTTTTTAATTTTCTTGTTCCCGAAACTCCAATAAGTTGTAACTTCCCTTCATTTCTCTGTATTCTTTTAGCATTAATATGTCGAATTCACTGACTCAACTAATTTAAATTTGTGTCGCATAAAACCTATTCAAAGGAAAAGCACTATCTACATTTCTTTATTTCCAAAGCTCAAATTTGATAACACATTTCCTTGTCCAAAAATATAACTCAAGACTATTGTTCGTAAAAGAGGTGTAGTTATTGAAGTGTTACTACTATTTCTAGTTGCTAAATTTTGTGACACATTATGAACAGAATATCGGGTTCGGGAGAATTGGTTTTGTTGTCCTCACCCTTAGGTGCTTTTCACAATTTGGTACTATCAGTAAAAATAAGTTAAAAACCAACTTATTTTCCAAGAAAACATTTGCTTCATACCAAACACACTAAATAGAATCTGCGTTGCCACTAATTATAATTGTTTATCGCCCTTGTTTGAATATCAATTTGGTTATATTGTTGCTCTTGAATTTTATGATACAGAAACAGAGCTTAGGAAAATATGGGAAATATAGAAATGTTGTAATAGATAATACCCATTTCTTTCAATTGAAAGTTACAATTAATTTCCCAATCTTCTTTCTTCTTATCTAATAAAATCTAATTTTTGCTTATCCCCTTGTTGAATAATTAGGGGAAAAAAGAATCTCCATTAAACGCAAAGACATCTTTACGTAGAGATTTACCCAAAGAAAATAAATCATCAAGATTTAATAACTCCAAGAACTGATGCTTGAAGTGATAAGGAATGCTTAGCATCACCAATGTGAATACTATGTTCACCTATTGAAATTCTTCGAACACCAGCCTTATCAACTACACTCAAATACTTGCACACATGAATATTTATCGCCACACGTTGCTTCGATCTTGCTGGTACGTAAACTTTTTGAAATGCGACCAATTGTTTATGTGGCACCCAAACATCAACAGGTGGCTTTGAAAACACGAGCAATGTGTGTGAACCATCCTTTGGTCCTACATTTTTCACGTCGATATGAATCTGAATTGATAGTTTGCTGCATTTTGTGTGTGTTACTCGGATTGATTTGTTAGTTATGGTACTGCTGTTGGACGTATGGCGTCCGTCTATTGGAATGGCTAGTGTTTTTGGAGCTTCGAAAATTGTGGTTATGAATTTTGTGTAGCTTAGTCCGTGCCCGAATGGGTATACTAATGGACCTTTGTAAAAACGGTATGTTCTACCAGGGTATCCTTTGGCTAAATTTGATCGCATGTCCATTGTTGTCATTGGTAAATTCTTTAGGTACTCTTGTGGATACCATGTCATTGGTAGCTTCCCACCTGAAAGCAATCGTATTCAATTAGTATATACTTGTGACACTGTATTTATTTCGCTCTATTCCTAAATAGAGCGAAATAAATACAAATGATTCATATAACAAAAAGTGGCCCAACAATGGAACATGTCCAAAATAAGTAGAAGCCCAATTTTGTGTTAATGTTTAGTTAGTTAACCTGGATTATGGGCTCCAAAAAGGACATCAGCAATGGCAGCACCACCGGCTTGTCCAGGATAGCCAGCCCACACTATACCACCAATTCGAGGATCGTTATTGGCAAATGTAACATCAACTGGGCCTCCGGACATAAGGACCAATACTACAGGACCTCTCGAGGCCTTCGATACCTCGGAGATGAGTTCTTGTTGGAAACCAGGCAAAAGCAGTCCAGTTCTATCTCTGAATTCAGCCTCAATAGACTGGTCTAGGCCCATTACTAGCACTGTTGCGTCTGCTTGACGTGCAGCATTTACAGCTCCGGCAAATAATTTATCGTCTGTACATGCCACATCACCGCAACCTTTTTGATGAATGGTCTTTGCATACTTTGATATTCCTTGTAATGGGCTTGTGTATCCACATGCAACACCTATATTTTAAAAAAAAACCCAATTAGTCCTCTTTTTCATATAAAGATATGCAAATTATGGCCTTAACCCGAGGCGGAGCTGTATGTATGTATTGTAGATGTTAAACATTTTAGTGAAAAATTATGACTCCGCCACTAACCTTAACTGTTTCTAATGAAAGAATAAATTATTTTTTACCTGCGTAATTTCCGATCATGGTGACAGTAACATCGGAATTCGGTCCAACAACAGCAACAGTACGATGGCGTCGAGGTGAAAGAGGAAGAGCAGGTCCATGATTCTTAAGAAGAACAATTCCCTGTCTAGCAGCTTCAACGGCGAGTTCTTGATGGGATGGGCTGCAAACATCTCTTGGGCCAAGATGTCCATATTGTTGGGCTGATGGTTCTCCATCAAACATCCCGAGCCTCATTTGAACAGCAACAGTATTAGCTAAATTTGTATCAATAGCAGTTTCTTTAAGAATACCAATATGCACTGCATTCTCAGTATGTTGGGACAAAAAAGGCCCACAATCCAAATCCAGGCCCGCTTTAATAGCAGCAGCTGCAGCTTCCTCAGGCGTCGATGTGTAGTGTTGGCTATCGTAGAACACTCCAACGGAGTCACAATCGGAGACAATGTAACCGTTGAGACCCCAACCACCGCGTATTGTTTTACGGAGAAGTTCAGGATCAGCACAAGTTGGTATGCCATTGACTTGATTGTATGAACACATAATACTAGCCACTTTACCTTCTTTAACACAACTTCTAAATGGTACATCAAATGTATCTTCAATATCTTGCTTGCTAACCTGTTATTACACATATATATATGCATGAATTATACATATGCTTGACTTGTCATAAAGTAATATAAACGCAATGTATTTTACCTTAGCGTTAAAGTGGAATCTATCGACCCCGCTCCAGTTATCGAGGTCGTAGGCTGTATAGTGCTTGCAACATGCTGCTACTTTGAGGCGGTCACCTTCTTCATTTCCTTGTAAACCTCTTACATAACGCTCGGCGTATACAGCAGCTACGACGGGATCTTCACCGGGAGTCTCCTGTCCCCTTCCCCACCTTGGATCTCGCAAAATGTTCACGTTTGGGCTCCAATATGTCAGACCTCCCATTTCTCCATTGTACATTGCTCTTGCTTCATCTGATACAACCTGCATTCCACCATATCACAAAATTATCAATTTAATAAGTCCATAACAAATCTATGAGGTGAAATTATATATTTAACTTGGAATACTTTCCAAACTAGTATTTTTTTAAATTTCTTATTTGTTCAAATTGAAGTTTGAGAGAATGAACCTAAGGATCCATTTGGAAATGGTTTTAAATTATGATTTGAAATCAGGTTGATTGAAAATTGAAATTTTATTTGTACACGCAATTTGAATTTTTAAATGTCCCTTTTCTTATAAATATGAAAATTTCATCGTTTGTGAAAACTATCAAAACTTCTTCAATTTTTATACAATTTATCCTTATATAGCCCATAGGTATCCCATTAATAAACTGCATATATCTCCATAGTTCTTTTATAATAAATATTTGCTATTATAATCTTTTAAGTAAGTACACATAATTTTTCAAAGGTTCACTGATCAACAATAATAAAAATAATAACTAGCTATATTTGAATATACTTCTAATCTCTTCACGTTAAGCGTGCGTTCTTTTTTTTAAAATTTTTTTAAAATGATGGATCTTCTTTTGCAAACTAAAAATTAATGGACCACATTTATCATTTAAAAGCCTACCTTTTTGAAGAATCTAAAATCATGAACTAAAATTTTATGGAAATTTCATAAATGAATACAGGTTTCAAATCCTATGGCCAAAATGCCTGCTAAATTATAGTAGAATAGAAATTGTTTTGGAGTTCATAAAGGGGTGTGACCTTACATAAAAAACAGAGCCTATTCTGAAAAAATTGCAACTTGGTTTGATGCCCTTATATATAGTCACTGTCCAATAAGTTATGGCCAATGGGAGGGACCCTTCAACACACTTGCCAACTTTTTCTTAAACTTTGATTGGCCTTGCACACAAGAAAGTTAACCTCTACTTTATACCAAAATGTACCTTTAATAATTGTTTCTCTTAGCTTAATTACTCCCATTATATTCTCTTTGATTAATAATCAAAGGATAAAGGGTTAATTCTTTTGTGATGCATTATAGTTTTTTTAGCTTTATATATGTAACAAATAATTTACATAAAATAATAAATTTGTAATTAATTCAGATACGAACCTGTCCCTTACTTCAAAATAATTTGAAACATATCAAAATCTGAAATTTTAAAAATGGCCACCGCCGATATTCAGCAATTCCATGCAGGCGCAAGAATCAAAAAATAGTAAAGAGCTATAAAGCACCATAGAGAAAGTAACAAAAACATTATCCTTAACTTTGCAAAAGTATACTTAGCTGGATTTTTATTAGTTGTACATAATCTTTACACTCTGTTTAATCTGTGCTAGTAGGTTGGTACTATTTTATAGTTCACCATGAAATATTTATCGATGAAACTACTTAAATTTATTGGGCCAAATTCAGTTAAGCTTGTATGATTTTCACAAAAAAGTCCTCACATTAAGAATACTACTCCATTTGTTTATTTTTACTTGATACATTCCGTTTTCTGAGACTCAAACGGTATAAACTTTGATCAGTGTAGTCTTTTCTTTATATTATTACAAGAAAGATTGGAAGTAATAGTATTTTTTGCATAGTTTTCAAATCAAATTTGTTAAATTAATCCAATTGACTCTCATGACAAGTAAAAGTGAAAAGTGAAACTGTACGTTACTTGTAAATAGTTTTTCTATTCCCTATGTCCCTAATTATTTGTTTATATTTTCTTTTTTAGTTGTCATTTATTACTTGTCCATTTTAACAAATCAAGAATGGACAAAAGAATTTTATCTATTATATCCTCAATTAATTACTTTGAAAATGGTAGAACTTTTTTAAAATCTTAAATTTTTAATTCATCCACTTCATAATTAATAGAGACAAATAGTAAACTTACTATGTCAATTCAAAAGTAGACAAATAATTAAGGACAACGGGAGTATTAACTATCAATGTGTGATTTTATTCGGCTAGTGAACCATAATTATAGTATTAACTAACATAATTGCTTAGATTGTGCAAGTTTTTTCGACAATGTTGTTAGTGCAACGAACATAAAACAGAGCAACAGCTAATGGCATCATTTTAAGTAGTATCTGAATTCTTACCCGTCCGATTTCTTCCCACAATGAAGCATTAAAAGAAGCAGCAGTCGTTATAACTTGCGGAAAACTAGTAGCTCCTGGAAATTCACCCCCAAATTTAGTCCCTGGTCCTACATTTGAAACTCCATGAAGCGCTTCAGACCACCATTCGTACCCTTTAATACCCAGCCTCGGCACTGCTGCGGCATTGTTCCCCAACAATTTCACTTTCTCTTGTAATGTCAATCGCCCAATGAGATCTCTTACTCTGTCTCCAATCGGCAAATTTGTTTGACAAAAGGGGAAATTTTTAGTTGCTCTGTCTTTTTGGTCACAGGCGAATGGGGGACGAGTTGCTTGAATAGAAACAAATACGAAAAGGAAAATGAAGAGAGTGGAGGTTGATTTGCCAATGCCGCAGCCTCCACTCATTTTTGTGGGGAAGAGGGAATATTTGTTGTTCCAATTGTGTGAGAGATAGCTTTGGATGTAAAAAAAAAGAGGGGTTTATATAGAACAGAGGTTTTTGGTTTGTTGAGGACATGGGTATTGGGCTTAGCTAGATAGTGGTTATGGAATTAATGATGCATGAGGATATGGGCATTGGTGATGCATATTTTGAATGTGGTATATAAAATTTTATGACTCACATGAAATTGCCAGTTACATATCTTAATTTATGCGACAGTCTATTATGCACTTGAATTATACAAGGTCATATTATCCCCCTCAATTTAATTGTCAAGATTACATATTGAATGACGTTGTTGCACACTTTTGAATATCAACTTCTACATAGTTTTAAGGGGTAAATAATAAGTTCAAAAGAATAATACGACCTTCACGCATAATTTAAATGTATAACTAACACTTTCATCTTAATTAAGGTCTTGTGTCTTATAGCTTCTAATTTTTTTGCTAGGATCAATCAATTGTTATAAAAATGCAACAGAGTAATTGGAACTATACACATTACTTTAAAAATATATCGAAGGGTTCATGACCCATTAGATCATACCCATAATGCTTTGTTTCACTGTTTATAAGAATCTTATACATAGGATAAGATATTTTATATTTCTTTTTTCAACATTGCAAGTTGGAGGTTGCAACTTGCAAGAACTGTTGAACAAGGGATGTGGACTAGTACTCTATTATTTAACTAAATCACTTTTGATATATAGCCTCGCAGAATACTTTCCAATTTTAATAACTAGCACACACACACACACATTAAAGTCCTTTTAATTATTTTTTCCTATCTAGATCATAATTAGGATCTCAATTTACTTGTTCAACTACCACCACCCTCTGTCACTAAACATCTTCCATCATCCACCACCTAGCTATTATTACAAAACTACTTATCTTACCATTATCATCACCAATGCTGCACTAGAAATGGCAAATTAAAGGTGCGGGATGGGTGCGGGTTTAAGTTGTGTATAGAGCCAGAACTAGTAAGGGTCTAGGGGTTCATTCGAACCTCCGAAAAATTATACTGCTTATATATAATTAGAATTATCTTTTATATACATATATAGTAGATATTGAATCAACTTTGACAATTTTTGAGGTGGGTTCAAACAATTTTTTAAAACATTTAAAGCGGCAGTTGCGGGGCAAGGGTCAAGTGGTAATGCAGGAAATATAATTGTTGAATTAAAGATCATGGATTGACGAGATATACAAATATGTATATAGTACTTCCTTCGTCACAATTTATGTCACACAATTAAAATTTTAAAACTTTGATCAATAATCAACAATTTATAAAAGACATATAAAATCTTTTGATAATTTTTTTGAGTTATCTTTTAAAATTTCAATTTATGTCACATGAATTATAATGAAAAGAGTAACAAACATGAGCAAATTAAGGAACCGTTTGGCCTCAAAAATACTTGAGAAAAAATTGTAAAAAATTTGGGAAGTGAGGTTTGGTCATATAAATTGGCAAATATATTTGTCAAGTTCCCAATTAGTATTTGAGTAAAGTTCTAATATTTGGGAATTTTAAAAAATTCAAAATTACCCCAAACTTTTTATATTTTATAAAAAAAATACTCATTAATTGTTAATTTCAACTAATATTTGTTACTACCTCCTCCGGAAAAGTTTGAGTTCTAATTTGAGTGATAAAATTGAAAAAAATTAATTTGTGTTTAATGAGTTATAATTATAACTGAACCAGTGACAAATTTAAGTATGCAATTAATATATTATCTTATCTATATTGTTATTTTGTTATTATTGATTGTTATCAATTATATTATAACGTTATTTTTTAACGAAACAAATTCATTATAAAATGATAACATAAATTGAAGTACTTCATGTACTATAGAGGGAATCAATGTAATAAATGCAGAGCCACTAGGAGAAGCAAGAATACATAAAATAAAGATCTGGATAAGTTAGCATATCGAGGATCATACTCAGCATACTCGATTAATTTCAGTTCAATATTTACGACGCACAACATAAATTATAATTATATCAAAATAATAGATATGAATTATAACTTTAAATATATAGAGTTTAAATATCTTTATTGAATTCATAAAATTTGAATTATAAATTCACCCAAAAGGCCTAAACACAGATCACCTTGTTAAAAATATTTGTTCCAAATTATTTGATCACTTACTAAATCAAGATAAAATTAATTAAAATTTTCTCATTTTACCCCTATAATTAATGAGTATCATCATCATGCTTAATGATCTTATAATTTTTCTTTGGAAACTTAAATAAAATTAAAGTTCCTAGAATTTATTTTTCCAAAGAGTTCATTAAATACTTAATTACTCTTTTGTACTCTTGCTCTCACCCACTTTGGAGTACTTATACCTTTTGTATGTCATATGTCAATTGTCATAATAAATTATCTTGATATCCATCAATATGTATAAAGGGCAAATTAGTCAAATTGATCATTTTATTTATGACTTTTTAAGTATCAACATGGAAAGTGATCAGTTATTATGGAACGGAGGGAGTAGTAGTTTAGTTAGATGACTACCTGAACTCTCACATTATTGGTAAGGGTTCGATTCCTCATATTGTATTCCCCTTTCACCACCCCATTTTAAAAAAAATAAATTAAAAAGGGATAATTGGGGTAGTGTCGTGTGACCTTTAATTTAGACTTTTTATTAAATTGATATGATGTCGTCCTTGCACTACATATTTTATATGGTTAATACTTACTAATAGTTAATACTTAGTTGAAGGTTGGGATTAAATTTCGTTAAATATAAATATATATTTCTTTTTAAATTTATTTATATTATTGATAAATCATAAATGTATGGAAAGTCAGATGTATATATGTACGCAATTATGCCTTAGTTTCCTTCAAAATTTTCAACAGCTTAATTATTAAAAAAGAAAATGTTTTGACAGCTAAGAAATCATGATCATGAGATTTAATTTTACAAGTACTCCTACAATTTTCTATTTCTATAGAAAAACCATTAATTTCTGAAGTCGTCACGGGAAAGTAAACACATGAGTGGCTGTCAAAAAGGAATTACCCCATAACTCATAAGTACAAATATTGAAATCGTTAAGTTTAAATCTTAAATGTCTTAGTGAATAAATAAGAGAATTAAGTAAATATTGAAATCGTTAAGTTTAAACTTGAATGTTTTCGTGAATAAATATGAGAATCAACTAACTAGTTCATGAAAATAGTACTCTAGTATTTATTTTTTGGTCAAAACACGTATAAAGTTAAACATGCTTCCATCTCAAATTTGTATCAAGTTCTCTCTCTCTTTGATGAGTTATTAAACATTTGTAACAAACTTGCGTTAAAGAGAAGGGAGGAATATAACAATATTAGTTAACTTTGCTTAAAAGAGTTGATTAATTATTACATGTAAAATGGGTAGGGGTCAGAAGAGAGCAATATAAGGTCCCATGCCTAATTATTTCTACATACAATTATTGTTCCATTGCTTCACTCAGGCAATTGCTACCACCCCCACCCCATTGTCACTACTATTTTCAAATATTTCTTTTCTAAGGAAAAAAAAAGGAAAGTAAAGTATTGTAAATTGATAACAATTTGAATGATATTAAATAAGGTAGTGAACTTGTTAATACCAATCGAGAGTGTTTGATAGAATGTATAAGAATAATAGTAATAAATTTAAATAATGTTTGTGATTTCTTTTATCCATAGTTTGAATTGGTATATTCAAGAATAGTTGTCTTTAATCAGATTTATTTCATATATTTATAAACTTTATTATTATAATATACTATGGAATTGTTTTGTATTAGTTACACACCCAATAATATTGAACAAGATATACTATGAATACATGTATTAATTACACATACATTGAAAACGCTATTAAACGCTAGCAATAAATACGATCATTATTGTAGCAGTTCCATTTAGTTGATATGCTTCTTTTATCTGATATTGCGTCGAATCTATTTTTTTTTGTTTGATATTATTGTTAATATTAGATAATGGTATAGGATAGTAGCAGGGTTATGGACGACAATATTTCTACATCCTCACTAGTCTGTTTTTTTTTTATTTCACAAGTTGGAGTTGGTGTTCTTGGGAAGGTACCACCACTTCCTTCACTGCATTTTTAATTAGTCATCATGCTCGTGGCGAAATCGCGAGGGGTTTATCCGAACCTTCTGATAAAAAAATAAATATATATTGAATGTATTTTTTTTTATGTATATAAAATTTTAATTTTCTAAATATATGACTAGAGGTTGGTTTGATAGACCAAAGTTCAAAATTTTCTTTGAAGTTTTAAGTTAAAATCTACGACATTATATTTTTATTTTTCCGAATCCTTTTAATAAAAAAATAAAAAAAATGAAATCGCCACTTAGATATCCCCTCCTTTCTATATTACTATATAAAATATAGTTAATACTTTTTGGGCATCAAAGTCCTGCTGCGTCTGACCAATATAGAAAGAGAATGTTAATCTTGTAAACTGTGATGCCATCCGTGACCGTGATTGGCGACTGATGCTACAAGGAAAATAGTTTGTGTTTTCAAAGTAAAATAAAAATAATATCGAAAAATTGGAGCGCGTTAATTTAAGAGATCATACAAATATCCTTAAGAATTAATAGCAATGATATGACAAGCCACATGAGACTAATTTCGCTACCAAAGCTTATCAACTAGAATATTCACTAAATTTTAACTCAGTTTATCATTCAAACCCTAACTCATTCTTGCTAGATCCGACCCACTAGTATTAAGAGGCTCTTCAAGTGAAATTATATTCTTTAAAAAAATCCTAAGCCACTTCTTTGCTGAATTGAATAGTGAAAAACTGATGTTTGCCTCTTAATTTTTTGTTGGTCGAATCTATCAAGAATGAGTTAGGATTGAGTCAAAATTGAACTAGAAAAACTCCAACAAAATCACGGTCAATAATTTATCACAAAAAAGAAAAGAAAAGAGACTAAACTGAAAATTGCACCAACACATGAGTAAA